GTTGTCGAGCTCCTCTCGGCACTCGGAGACAGCGCGACTGTTTCTCTGAGAGTTCCCAGCGGACACCACGTGGAGGTGGGAGCTCGTCGTCCGCCGCTACGTAACACCTTTTCCTAGATGTAAGTTAAGTTAGTAGTTACAGTATCCGAAATCAAACAAGATAGGCAGGAGTGCTCGATGGTAGTTACGTGGTAGAATAACACTGTAGGGCATTCTCACTATATGTCTAACATGCTGAGGCCGGGGCCTCTTCTGACCCCAACCCTATTTCGAATCCAAGACTGAATTTGTATGTGAAAAGAAAAACAGCCAGGTGATCGCCCCGCGTAAGCAGTTTACCAATTAGTACGCGGAGACTACTATTCGTTGGCATACTGTACTCATTGCACGGCTCATACAGTACAGAATAGAGTAGATGGACCCTCGGGTTTCATGTAGATTTAGCATTGATCGAGTCCTTCTCCTCCGAACGGGTTGCTTCCATTAATTACTGTAGTACATAACGAGAAGTTTTGTTGGAAGTCGCAACCTACCTTCTTCATAGCTAGGCAACCGACTCTGAAGTTTCTCCCTGTCTCTCTCGTTTAATGCTTCTATCTCAGCTCGCATTCTGTCATTTTCAGACTTAGCGATCGCCGCTTGCCTTTCTTTCTGCAACTTTGTTTTGGGACGTAGCAAAATCATATGTATAGACGTAAAATTGAGTTTGCCCTGAGCGCTGTAGATGGATGCTATGGAAGGAAGAGAGGAGCGAGGAAAAGTCAGAGACCCTTTCAAGATCTCCACAGTAATTCGAAAAGAGTGTGAGGAAGATTGCGCTCGCAAGTCAGCCTGGCTGTTGCCCTTTTAACCCAATAACTTTTTTCTGGTTTCAAGCCATGATTGGCCACTTGATTGTAAGACTACTTTGTACATCAGAGCTGCCATGGTGCCACGCCGCTCACCGCCAAGGCAAGGGAGTTTGACGCTTATGCTAATTTAATGGGCATCATCGTCTCTGATCCTTGTTCAAGGGAATCCGGCCGAGCTAAATTCTTGTTGAAGAACCCGGTGTGGTCTCTAAATTTATAGTACAGTATGATGTGGCTGAATACTTAGCCTGATCAGACTGACATGGCACACCGCTATTTGAGGCCCGCGGTACCGCCTCACTTTACAAATGAGCATTGCTCCCTCTGGCGTATCTTCCTTAACAAATACGTTAAGCTGGTCCCTCGATCGGGCGCAAATAGTGAAGAAAGGTAAAGGGGGAAACCATGGAGGACATAGTAGTAGCTCAAGAAATGTGGGAGACGGAACAAGCGGACCCTGAATGGTTGTCTTTCAAGAAATATGGGTGAGAATGGGTTGTAGAACCAAGGTGTGAGGTAGATCTCATTTAGAACGGTGCAAGTTGTAACTTATAGGATAAAAGGCGGAGATTTGAAGGTGAAGCCTTACGCAAGAACAAAGGGTTGGAAGTGATATCGAATCACCACTAGAGGTACGTGTTATGAATCGAACCGTATGGCCGAGGGCCGAGGCCATACGTCACAGCATCCATCGTTAACGGGGAGATAACAGGTAAGCATCTCATAGTGTTCATTGAGAACCCTGATTGTCCGACTATAGACTTAAGTTGACCACAAAGGCCCTATCTAATGTTGGATACTGTAAAGGAGCGTCCTCATATAACCTTTACAGATCCACAGGGCCATCTCCCGGTCACGTGACGTAGCCTCGTTCTCCAGCACGGTTTCTTGACGGCGCAGCGCCACATTACTCACTGAAGAAGATCTTCCACTGACGAACAGCTTGAAAATCCCCTACGTGCTTCGTTCCTTCACCGAACCTTTGCTGCGCGTGCGATATTAGCTAGACCCCTTCAGTACGCTACGATCTGAGGCTGTATTTGCTGCCATAACTTGTGTCCGGATCTTGAGGCGCACTTTCTACAAGGAATAAGTGGTGTCCAACAATCTCTACTGGCTAAATCAAAAGTGCCTGGCATCGAACTACTCTACTGTACAGGCGTGCGTCTTCTAACTCGCTACAACTCCATAATCTGACCCCTCCAACGAAGGGAGAAAACTCGACACTCTCCTTCTCTCGTCCATCAGGCCATGCCCCCGAGTACTCACACCACGGAACATCAAGCCAGCCAGGTTCCCGGCGGCGGGAACCAGCCTTCGGACCCGTCGGGTAACTCAAAGAGCTTTCCATCGCCGACTGATCAACTTATCAGCCTCACCTCGCCCAAGAGGGCCAACCACGCTCGGCGGAAGAATCGACGACCGACGACCTCGCGAATTCCGCAACGCGAGAACGATACAAGAATTGAATTGATCGTCAATTCAATCCACGTCCCTTGGCAGAGCCAAAACCATGACCGGTGCTCACATCCTGATGGGGGGCAGCCAAAGTGACGCCAAGGGATCTCAGGAGGTACGTTGACACCAAAAAGAAGACCCGAGCAATGTCAATGGCTGTCCCGCGGCGTGCGAAATTGGCGTCCTTCGACCAAAAACTTCCGCCCTCGATTCCGAAGAAAAGATACCCTTTCTCTTGCTCCCCTGATATGGCTGTTCCCATAATGACCTACAGGACCAGGATCCAGAGATTTAAATTACAGCATGAAAGGCGCGGCGGGCTGGACGGTGAGCCTACCGAATTTCCTTGCTCATCTCAAAACCGTGTGTCCGGGCCGTTTCGACATCGAGAGGGTCGACTCCGTGGGTCCTCTGTACTGTATATATTCACGCTCTGGTGATATCCTCTCCCGTTGACACTATCCATCTGTTCAGACAATTCCCGGTCGAGACGCTTTTGCGATGGCGACTTGTAGCTCGAACGCCACGGTGACGGCCGTGGCGATCAACGCGTAAGTGCGGTCCATATCCCGAGAGGTTTCGTCCTAATTCCCCGACAGTCACGGAGACATTGTTGCAATTGTCAGGGACGGCTTCAAGGAACAGATCCATTTCCAACCAAATTTTGACGGTTGGGATGGGGAGAGATTGTGGGTAGCCCTCCAGCAACCTTTTAACGACCCCATTTCATGTCTGGCCGCAGGTGAAGAGTCGTACTTTGTTGGTCAAGCCACCGGTGCGTTATTTATCTTCGACCGGAAGCAGTTTAAAAAGCCGAGGCGCTTCACCCCAGCCTTCAAATGCATGCAATTCACTGCACCCCTCACCTCAATTGACGAGATCGATCCAAGCGTCCTCCTCATCGCAGTCCCTCATGAGATAACGACCGCACGGACCCCCATAAATGATGGACATAAATTCAGCCTATCCGCGCCCTTTGCCTCGCAGAGCATCACAATAAGCTGCGCTCGGCGCGTCGACCTCAGTGATGGCGCCGTCATCGTGGCCGTCGGCCTTGATGGTGAGGGGCGGCTCTACGTCCGATCTGCGAAATGGAACGGTGACTCCATGAGCGGTCTACGATGGGAAACAGTCGTTCGAGAGGAGCGGGTTCCGGAACCCGTCGATGACTTGAACGGACTCGTGACGGCGGTCAGTGGCGTGACTGGTGTGCGCTTGCTATCTCGGCAGGGCCGCCTCGTTGTCTCAACACGGGAAAGCCTGGTCATGCTCGATCTCGCCGAGCCTGGACTTGGACCTCGGATATCGTCGCCAGACGCCGCTTCTCCTTGGTCGATGGGTGCCTCGAGGTCCAAGATTGCGATCGCCCGCATGTTCGCGGATGACAGTGGGAAACTGATGACCCGAGCCCTGGATGGAGCGCATGAAGATGTGCCGAAAGACCTCGGGATTTCGAAAGAAGACATCCTCAGTATGACTGAACGGGGGATGGAGGCGACATAGGATTCATTTCTGGTGAGAGTGACGGACCCTATTCTTTGGAAGACCAAGCACAACCCGGTAGAGAGGCACTCGACGAAAGCTCCGCAGCCTCGGTAGCGTGCACTTTCTGACAAGGTGAGCCGGGCGAACGCGGACGTGATGGCGCGGCGGCGAGAGGAATTATAAAGAGGCAATTGCGAGCAGTATTCGAAAGGGTGACAGTGGCGGTCGCGTCGTTCTTGATAGAGTGGATACAAGAGTTGACCAGAGTATGACAAGAGGGAATAACGATTCGTCGGACTGTATTCTGAAATGTAGTGTATTGGGGCTCGAGGCGCTTAGTCATGAAAAAAAAACAAAAGAGAGAAGGGGCCTTGGCATGGAAGAACAAGCAAGTAAGGAGAAAAGCAGGCAGGACAAGGAGACAAGCAACACAACGCAGGAGAGCATGCGTTGAGTATTAAACAGCAGTCATGAGAGCATAGTTTGCAGAATTAAGAGGTATCAGATTGCTGACGAAGTTGACTACGAATAGTCCTATCTAGGGTAGTGAGCGTGAATATATAATGCTAGCTTGGAGTGCGGGCCGTGGACTGTGAGCGCTCCATCGGCTAACCTCCCTTCCTTGGTGCGGGCACCATGACCCCGGGCGACCTTCCAGTGAGCTGATTCAGTTTTTGCTAGGTTTTATCTCCCAAAAGGTCAATCAGATTCCCCTGCGCCTTTTTTTTCGCTCTCTGCTCCTTTGCGTCTTGAATTTGTGCTCTCCTCTCTTCCTTCTGTCTGTCTCGCTCCATTTCTGCCTTCTTCAGCGCATCCTCGTCGGCTTTCCGACATGCAGCATCCCACCCTGTTTCCGTTATGTTTTATTAGATATACATTCTCATCTGGGATAGGGAGGATACTTCTAGTCGTACATCGAAATTTAGGCTCCTCGGCAGCGACTGGCATAATTTAGAGTAAAATTGGTGGTATAATGAGAAGTCTTTCAAGCGACCAAAAGTGTATTGTGTCCTTCAATTCCGAGCCCTATGTTTTCTTTTGTAGCTTGGAAGCAGTGCCCAGCAACTCTTCCTTACCATGTCACCGACCAGCACAGTAGACAGCGCATACGGTGGAGGCAGACAAAGAGCTATTATAGTGATGGATGATCGTGGGTGGGGCTATCGGATTGGGGCCACTATCGCTAAGGACGAGCAACGTGTTGGGTTTTGATTCGGGCAAAATTGCTAGTTAGCTGTAGGAGGACATCCCAGTTCGTTTGGAGGGCCGTCACAAGGCGGGGAGGTCGATGTGTCGTAAACTGCGCCACAGTCGCTGGGACCTTGCCATAGGTCGCCTTATCGCTGCCATGATGCGGTGTGCCGAGGAAGATAAGGCCCAGCGTAGCATCATTGATCGATCGGTATAATGATTCCAACTTGGCTTGGAGTAGAGCCTCGAAATAAGTTAGCCCACAATTCCTCCAAGGCAGTGTGCGCATGAGAGGACGTTGAAGCTCCTACCACAGCGTCAGTATCTTATCCACACTGCGGTACTTTTGATCCGTGCACCTCCGGCTCGTCTCTCTTGTCCACCAAGCTCGACAATGGGCTTTTGGCATGGTCGATCACCTCTGCCGTCGACTCTCCGAAGGCTGCGGCCGCATTGTAGCTGAAGCTCATGACGCGCATCAGGGATCTGCTTGGGAAGGTGCGTTCCACGATGTCCTCGGGTTTTGTGCCGGTTTTATGTACAGTCTGTCAATGAGCAGCGTTTTCCCAGAAGCAGAAACCCCGATCGGCCAAAAGAAAACGGAAACGAAAACGAACAAAAGGACCCTGTTTTTGGGATTTTGGTCAACAAGTGGTGACCAATATTTATAGGTTTCGGTATGAGAAATACAGCCCTATCATTTTCACGTATCGTCCCTCAGGAAAACATTTTTTAGGAGATCATTATATTATGTAGCAGTACATAGCAGTGATAGGCACTGAATTACACACGTCGATCAGCCCCGGCTCCTCCACCACAAGACCATCAAACGCGTTCCCTCCGCCAGGAGGTCTGCCATGTCTCGCATGGTTCCGCGGAGATAATGGATCGTGGGTCTCGCGCGAAACAGCAGCTGTGTTTGTTCTCGAGGATGGGGCGATCATCGCATAAAGCGCGTAGAAGAGTGGAAGGACCGGTTCGGTATCACCACATCGCTCAAGACAGCCAAGGACTGACGTGAACCCGACCACCACGAGCCGTAGTCCAATGGTGTCTCAAGCAACTGTTCATATGAAGATGGGATTCGCAGAGGCCGAATATTGTCTTTGGACTCTTTGTTCTTCTGCCTCCTCTGGTCTTCCCACCTCGTCGGGGCCATGCGCTCCCGCCGATGCCGGTGGGAACGGTGAATGCCCCATCGCGTCGGCGGCAGCAATGCGCGTGTGCGAGGGTTGCCCAGGCCCTCGACATGTGATTGCCACCTTGGCCCGGGCGACGGTATCACCACCCGGCCCCGGCGTGGGGTAGCAGCTGCTGGATTCCGCAAGACGGCAAGTACTCGTCTCGATCGAAGGAGTCCCCTCGGAGGGCCAATGCCCACCCTCGAGGTAGGAAGCGACCCGTCGTCCTCGCTCCGCATCGGGGGTGGAGGGTCGGGACTCCGGCGTTTGGGATGAAAGGGAAGGCGCCCTCCGGCTGCTCCTATTGTCAGCTGCGCACATTGCATCAACGCAGAACTGCCTCGAATCACGCACGAAAATGTGGTCGCGGTGGCATTTCCCTTGGTGACCTTGTGTCTGGTGGTCGAGCTGGCGGAGCCACGACGCGGTGTGGCATGTGCAGCATGCCACGAGATAGCGTGGTGGGCTTAACAGGGTTCTCACCAATTGACGGTCTTGGGATGAAGGGCGATGACGATGATCCCCTTCCGAGAAATAAATGGCGAACGTTGGTATGAGCGAACCGATCGTCGTGGGCGGCGATGGTGTTCTTATCTGTCGACAAGGCGTCCAGAAGAGGGAGCGAAAGGCGTCAGACGCCTTATATTGAACCACCCCTGAGGGGTGGTGGGTCGACGGACGGCGAGCACCAGGCGCCAGCTAGCTAGCTACCGTACCCTGGTGGACGGATGTGCTCCTAGCTCGGAATGCACCCGCCTCATTCCTCCAAGCCAACGGAAGGTGGCGACAACTCACAGCACACGGATATGAGGGGGGGAAGGATACCGGTAGTGGCACCAGGCCGAACGTGGAACAGTCCATGCGAGAGTGGAAGGCCGACGGCGAGGCCCTGCCTTCGATGAGTCGAGCTTTCCAACGGATCTGACCCCACTTTATGAGCTTATCCCACCCTCAACCCAGGGTGTCTTCCATTGTGTCTTGCATGGGCATCTTCGCCCCTGGCTTTCGACGGTGCCCACAGGGAGGCCAGCCGCGGGAAGATGACAACCCGTCGACGGCCCTAATGACCCTAGGCACGGCTTGCTCCCTGGCCAGCCTTGACTCAAACAGAGCGAAGATTTTTTTTTCCAAGGTTTAAATGTCTGCTGGCTTGCATAGCTGGGCAATGCTCTGTGGCTAGCCCAACGTTGGCAGTATCTGGTCCCAATGAAATGCGCAGGGCCGGGAAGCTAGCGCCAATCTTCAGGCCATGTTGTTTGTCCAGGGTCCTCTCATACTGCAGCAATCGGTTCTACTTTCGACAGGTCATCCGAGCTACCTAGTGTCTCTCAAACGGACTCTTTCTTTTTCTCATGCTGGTGAGAAAGCGTCGTGTTAGCGACGGTGGGAGTATAAGTCCTCTCCGACCACCAAGGCCTCTGACAGCCTGTTGCAGCTTCCGGTGGCCGTGATAACGACCTCTTCATGTAGAGAATGTCACTGTAGCCCCTGACTCAATGTGGACGTAGGTCCCGGGTGCCATTCTCGCTGTCCCTTCTTCACTGAAATCGTTCGATGGAAGGTGTCGGAATTCGGCCCATGTGAGGAAAGGGGTGCGGCGGGAAGATCCGATCACGATACTTGGTGGCTGAGGCGAAGAGACGGTGCTGTCGAAATTTCCATCTGGAACCGGGAGAGGCCCAGGGCTCGTCACTGGGACAAACCAACCTCACGCCCCGATTCCCCAACTGCACCCTCAATGGCCCCATCGTTTGAGACGTCGGCTGGTGGGCTAAACCTTTGATATTTCTACCGGTTAATTGAGATCCTCTAGCCCACATTATACTCCGTATCCTTCTAGATACTTCGGCAAACAGACTCGCCAACTTAACGAGCTGTTCATGTTCTCGCCAGCTCCGATCATTTTCCACCATGGTCATCCCCTCACCAAGTCACCACAGCGACGCTCACATAATGTCTCGTCACAGAGAGGGCCTGGGTCCGTGGCAGATCAGCCGATTCTAGGGTATTCTTCCGGCCCAGCTCATAGCTTGTCATGGCCAACATTTCAATGAAATGAATCTCTTATACAATGTCAGGACCGCACTAATCCTCCACGAGGTCCGTGGCATATCGGATGATCAGGTGTCACAGGCACCGCAGAGGGCCTCGCTCTCCGGGAGGCTCACCAGGTACGTATTAAGAAGACCAACACATTTCAGCGTGGAGAAGATAATCGATGTCATCGGAAATTAAGAGGAGGACCCAAAGAACAACGGGCTCGAGTTAATACTGCGAAGCTAGGGTTGGCCAGCCCCATGCTCCGACGGCACCAATGACAGACTGCGCGAGCAACGACGGCAAGTTGGAAATCGACTTTTCGACGATCTCGGATAACCCTTCTTAAGTATCTTACCAAGAGCAGGACGGCCGGCCTTGCGGGACATGGTTTCCCCACCCTGCGGTGGTCGCGCGGACAACCATGCTGACTATATAGGTTCGTCTAACTCTCCCTTGATTGGCCCCATGTCAGTGGGGTCCAGGCCTCCGTCGTTGACCAAAAAGGTTATCTAGAGGTTCTTACCATGCTAGTGGGCCATCCGTCCACAGAGGTCGGTCCTGTCACTTGCCCTGACTGTGAGGGTGATCCGCCGCGCAATTACGACCGTCGCTTAGTTCTTTGTCACAGACCCTACCCTCAATCCCAAGACCGCCGGCCTCCGCATGGCGAATATCGGTCGGCCGCTCAGGTGCTCCGCTGCTCCTTCCCGGAATGGTCTCTTGTTCCTCGTGCCCAATCCACCATGGCCTCCAGAGGGTGATCTGGAGGACGCCGAATTCGCTCGCACACAGGCAACAGGTTCCCCCAACTGGAGACCGGTTCCGCGCCGGTGGCGGACGGGGGAGCTGTACGGGTAGGGCTTGGTCAGGCCGTGAGCTCGAAGGGGCACACCGGGGGCCGAGTGAAGGTGACGGCGCCGGTGTCTCATGTCGGTCATCGGGGACAATACGGCCATGGAGGTATCGAGCGGTGGCGGGCCCCGGGGGACCCGCGAGCTCATCGGGGCGCCAATCGTCTAGCGGGTCGTAGACACCGTGCGCATCCCAACGATCGAGAGGGCTACACAGCTGCTCGAGGAGCGGTGCATGGGCGACGGTGGGGGTGGTGCAGAAGATAGACGGCCCCGGCGTCGCTGCCTCCGACAGACGAACGGGCACGCTCAGGCTGGGCTGCGGGACGTCCTCGTCGTACATGAATGAAATCGTGTCCAGGGCTTCCGAGTCGCCGAGATCGGCGGTCTGCACAGCACACCTCACCGTTCGCCGCAGATCAGCCGGAGGGACTTCTGTGCGAGGCCGCAACCGAGGGGCCATCCTAGTAGTCCTAGTCGTTCTAGACAGCGCGGGGCGTCCTCTCTCTCGACTAATGACAGAAAAAGGTGCAAAGCTAACCTCCCCTTATACCTTGTCATCCGTCATGGTAGGCGTCGGCGGGGCCATTCTACTGGGTAAAGATTGGTCCGTACCGCACCCAATCAGGCCTGTTGGTGGAAATGGGCCAGGAGTAATTCCTTTCGAATCCCGACTCACTGGTTTTTTAGCCTGGCCTGGTTGACCTATCACCCTCCAGGTATTCTCCGCGAAGGGAATTGAAGACCTATTCGATGCCTGGAGTCACGTTCAACGGCGCCATTCCACGCCACGATCCACACAGAACAATGGTCTTAGAAACCCTCTACATTGTACGCTATCATCTGGTCGGGCGCTTCCTCGCGATCCTGCTGCAGAGTCAGTGATACCTGGAACACCGACGATGAGGACCGTGGAATGTCCATGGTGATGGTGTATTGATCTAATCTCCATTTTATGTACCCGCAGCTCGTGAATTCGCTGCAGTATTGGCTGTGGGCGGCGCTCGCCGACATGATTGCGGACGGCTGACCGTGCCGGTTCCGGTTCCGGGCGCAAGGAGTCATCCTTGCTAGAACCACCCAATCATTCCTCATCCTCCCAGTTCGGAACCAGCTTTACTTTCCTGCACCCACAGCCCCGTGGATGGAATTTCTCACTCCACGACAAAACCTTGCCAGGCCTCCTAATTAATGCCGTTCGAGCTCGCTTCGCTTCATTCTGTCGGTCTCGCTCTCCTGTTGCGGAGTTTCCTTTTCAGGCCAACCATAACCCGAATGTCGGGGGTTCTTGTTCGGACGCTGTAGAGCTACCCAATGCTCAGTCACAAGTGTCCGACAAAATCCGTCGAATCTATGACTCTCACCCCACAACGCACCACCATTGAAGAAGCCGGACTG